CGATAATATACCGTGCGGTGGTAGTGAGATGGTGATGCCCTTTTTTTCGACCGAATTGCAGTACAATCGAGCTCTCTTCTCTCGCAAGTTCTTGCTCTCTGAAGTTCGGTTTCTTTCCTTTTTTTTTGCTCTCTGTTCGCGTAAGAAGAAGAGAAGAAGAAGTTTTTTTTTATATTTAATATCGAAAACGTATTCCTTGAATACGGTTTCTACATGATTTAATTGCAGAACGTATTCAAGGAATACGGTTTCCGAAATAAAAAAAAAAGCACGAGGATCCCAGATTGGGGACTCGAACCCGTGTCTGTGGGTGAGTCCGGTTTCTCTGGGCGCACCTCATACCATTGTGCTGCCAGGCACCTTGCATTTATTTTTGCGCAAATTATATACATATACATATATTATAAATTGCAATATATTATATACTATATGTTATACTATATTACATTACTATATACTATGTTATACTATATAATATATAGTATATAGTATATAATATAACATCTACTATATGTTATGTTATAATATAACATCTACTATATTATAACATATATCATATAATATAATATATGTTCTAATATAACATATGTTATATTTTTATAATATAACATATGTTATATTTTTATAATATAACATATGTTATATTTTTAACATATATTATAATATTATATTATATGTTATTATATAATATAACATATGTTATATAATAATATAATACTATGTGATATTATCTACTATATTTTTATTATCAACTATATGTTATATATTATCAACTATATTATAACATATTATATTATAATAAACATATGTTATATTAATATAACATATGTTATATTATATTATAACATATATTATATAATATAATATAACATATGTTATATTATAAGGTTTAGGGTTTAGGGCTAGTGTTTAGGGTTTAGGGTTTAGGTTTAGGGCTAGTGTTTAGGGTTATATTATAATATATGTCATATAATATATGTTCTAAACCCTAACCCTAAACCCTAAACCCTAACCCAAAACCCTAAACCCTAAACCCTAAACCATAAACCCTATAATATAACTATGTTATAATATAACATATATGATAATATAAAATGTTATAATGTATGATAATATAACATATGTACTAGTTTGAGTTCAATTGTATTAATTTGACTTCGATTGTACTAATTGGAGTTCAATTGTACGAATTCGACTTCAATTGTATTAATTTGAGTTCAATTGTACTA